TACAGGGGGCTACGGGCACAAGGCAGGGAACAACCCAGGATGTGGTGCCAACTCATGACACCTATGGTCAGTTTGGTAACTCAGCATGTTTTTGGACTGTGGGGTGAAACGCCATGATGACACGAAGAGAGCATGCAAACTCCACACAAGGAGCCATGGCAGAGACTCAAAGCCTGGTCCCAGAGGTGTGAGGCAAAAGCCCTAACCACTGCACCGCCGTGCCACCCCACTGCACCAGTGTGCCACCCCACTGCACCGCCATGCCACCCATCAATGCCCACATTTACCTTAGAAGGCGTGGGGTCAAGCCACTTTGCACCCTGTGAATGAAGCAGAATTGCAAATAAAGGAAAATATTGATTTACAGAGAATGATAAGAGTAGGTTCAAGTTTGCTCTTACATCAAAAACACTCTTCTCAGTAACATGATCTGGTTGTAGGACACTGTTTGCAAAATGATGCCGGCTGTTTCCTTGGAACAGCTCTGATCCTGTTTTTCCATTTCCACCTTCTAGCAAAGCTAACTAAACAGAGGGTCCATGGAGCTGTGTGACTTGAATCCTTATTTGGATGAAATCCCATTTTCCATTACAGTGACTCAGCGAAAAACACGACTCCCCTGTGTGTGTCCGGTGGGTGATCACTCCGGTGCTCTGCACGTTTCAGCACTAATGTGTGGAAGAAAAGAAATGACAGTCTGAGAAGAGGGGTAGTAGTTGGCTAAATGCTCAACATGAACTTCAGAGAGGTGAAAGGGTTGCCAAGGGTTGGTGTTTTCTGTTTGCCATAAAACGGCTCGTGGGATTCACGTTGAGGCGCCATGTCAGCTTATGGGGTAGACAACAACCGCTACATGCCTCAAGATTGGGGCTTACAGGGGCATTTTTGGCTGTGTCTTCTGTTCCACGGGGCCGTTTCCACTGTGACCCCGGGGGGACCATAGAGATCCTGTTAATGAGCCTGTAAAACCGCACTAAAGTTACAGCCACCAAACCTCCATGGCTAAAAGGGTGTGGAATCCCTCAGCATCAAACCCTGGCTGTATCTGAAAAAGATCCACTTTTATGACCGGTCCAGAAAAAAAGCGGGGAAACCACCGCGGGTGGGATCTGTGTCCCCCGGTGAGTGAAAGAGTTATTTACGAATTTTGGCCACAGCGATACTGGAAAACAGGAAGACTCCACTTCACTTTAAACATATCGCCATGCTGCAAAGTAGAGCATACAGTCACGCCTTCGCAGTCTCGACGGTTAGCGGTGGGAGATCCCTGCGAATGTCACAATTCATGGACTTCTACCCATAACAGTCTGCTAGCCCAAACGATAACATTAAAAGTCTATTTATTGCCTATTTCTATAGCTATTAGTACCTATTTATATTGCACATGCCCAAGCATTTACACTAACAGATTATGTATCACTGATCTTTATATATTTTACAATTTTATGTGATCCAAATCATTTTCAGTATTCTTTTTGGCTTCTTCAGCGAGTTTATGCGATCTTACGGCAAGCTTGAAAAACATATCCGTTTAATTGTTCACAGTCAACTCGTGAATAACCGAAATTTGTGATTCTGGAGGGACAACTGTACTTCCGGACTGCATGGTTCACACTTAAGGCATAGGAGGTTAGAAAACTATGTGTGTATAGACCATCTATGGTGAGTTCAAAACATGCATAGGTAATACTCTGTTTGAAAGGAGTTTCCTTTACTTACTTTGGAGCCCAACTTAATCTTGAACCAGTATTTCACAGAACAACACTGGGAGCGGTTAAATGTCGTAGTTAATGAGGTTGGAATCCACCTACCTTCCTTTCCACAACCGTCCTTTGCACATAGTCCATGGCTGGATCATTCAGTTTTCCATACACCCAGTCTGTTTTGCCTTAAAAATGTCAAAATCCTTGACACATTTGTCACAGTCTTTTCGCAGTGGGTTCTTGGAGATCCAAGAGATGTTAATGCAAGCGGGACTCTGGGCTTTTCTGCGAGCCGTCAGATTTCCGGTGACGGATGACGTGGGGAACACGGATCTGCTTCCATCTGCTTTTCTGTCAGCAATGTCGTAAATGTATGGATTAGCTGTGGTGTGTGTTTGTGTCCTTCAAGCTTTTGGGGATAATCCCTGTTGCGGGGGCCTGAAGGTGTTCCACGTTCCTGAAATTGTTCCATCGGGGTTCCTGATGAAAAACAATCTTTCCAGGAGGACAGGCCTCATCAGTGGGAAAGATGCCTCTGGAGACTGTGGTCATGGAATTGACTCATGAAGCAGTCAAATTTAATGAAAGCGATTCCTCCTCTCATCTGTGGATGGAATCTCTAATGCGCAACCTCTGCCTGCTTTTCCAGCAAAAGCCGTGTGCTGAATGGACGTCTGTTTACCCTCAAGAACGAGCTAGGAGCACTTGATATAATTGTCTTGTGAGAAACTTGTTGGTGCCTGAAAGTATAACATTGCTGTGAGGACATTTCCTGCTAAATTATTGTAGCTAACTGGGTCACCCAGCAATCTGCAGACAATCTTAGGGCAAACGGCTGAACACACGAGATGGTAGTTTAATCGATCAGAAAAGCAGCAAAGAGATACGAATAGACAAAGCTGACAGAAAGGAAGAGCCAAACTCTTCAGTCCTTTACGAGACAGATGTACGTCCATTCTTTCTTCTTTTTCGTAAGAGCTCTGCTACTGTTTTGCAGTTTTGCTTAGAGAGATTATAACAGGGCTGCCAACCTTGGTCAACTAGCCGGTGTGAAATTTTCAAATCGCATGTAAATACACACGTTTACTTTTTTGTAAGAGTTTTATTGCCTTGTAAATAGTCTGTGGAGTTTGCAAACTACCCCAACGCTTTACAATGTAGCTAATTTTAGATTTATAGTGGAATAATATAGATTTGCCATAAGATCTCTTGTGTGAGCGTGAGAGTTTGAAAGCGTGAGCGTCACGCCCGATGCATGAGGGCTGGCGACACTGGTATGTGTATCACGCTCCCATTAAAGGCCTGTGCCTGTCACTCATCTCGTGTCACGGTTCCTCTATTCTTCCTGTGCCTGTCACTCATCTTGTGTCACGGTTCCTATAACTTTCCTGTCTCTGTCACTTATCTCGTGTCACGGTTCCTGTAGCCTTCCAGCTCCAGTCTCAGTAACAGGCACATGAGCACAAGCGGCCCCCTAGTAGTAATAGTGATGTTTGCAGTATCCTTGCAGCACGTGGTCTACAACCACAGACCACCTACTGTATCCTGGGCATATGAGCGCGGTTTCCACATGTCAGGCATTACAGGCCAGTCCTCGGAGTGTACTCAGGTCAGGTTGTTTTTTGTACAGTTCAAAACTTAGGAAATTTGCCCGTCATGAAGGTGCACAGCAACAGACTGCAAGTCTCCGACATAATCTACAGCAGTGGGAGGTCAAAATATGATTTTTTTTGTCCTTATAGAAAGGCATTCTATGTCTTAACTGAGAAGTGAAATTTACTGCCCAGATGGGGAGGATGTGTTTGTGCTGTTGTCATGCGCAACCGCGAGTCAAGCAGTCATTCAGGCAAAAAAAAAACAAAAAATTAAGCCATATTCTAAACAAAGGAATTAGTGTTGTGAAACCTCAACACAAACAAGCTCGCTTTCCTGGCACCTTCTAAACTTCTAAGCAGCTCATTGGTTTAAGTGATCTGCCACTCTGAAGGACCTGGCGATGAGACATGACAGCAGTTTAGATTGCTTAGATTTCCGCCTCGGCTCGCAAGGTGCTGTTACAGTAGCTTCTACTCTCAACGAGAAACGGTGTGTGTCCAGGATGTGGAATATCTGTGTGTTTATGGTACTTATCGCCCTGGTTACACATGTCACATGTAACATTTGGTTTATGCACGGCGTCTGTGAGCAGCTTGTCCGCATCTGTCGGACAGCCTGGCTGTACTCGTCCTCTGTCATCCACGATGGAGACTGCTGAAAACATAGTTTTGGTTGTTTTTGATACAGCCGGTAAGGATTTGGGGCTTTTGGCTCATGCAGGAGGCCCTCTGGCCTGTCAGCCAGCTGTCTTCGGCCAGTTTCCACCACTGGTCTGACCACCTCCCATCACAGCCAGCCTTTTCTTCCCTTGTGCTCTCTGGGTGAGAAATGGCAGGTAGCATGTTTGTCCAGGAATATTCCAGCTGATGGATGTCTTTGGCCAACACCGAATAGAAGCTGGGGGTGATTATAAGAGCCGTCAAGTTTGGGACCCATTCCTGAGCTGCAAGAAGGGTCAGTTCCATATTCATGGAGGTAAAACACTGGGCAGATTCAACCTGGACTCATACTTGCAATGGCCTCTTGCACATGGGTCGCATCCATCAGTCGGGGAGTGAGGTTGAGCGCAATTCCTTCCTGTCACCACACCCTTGGTGAAGCAGATGGTGCCGCTTCCTTCCGTCTGGCTGCCGTTGCTGGAGCCGGGACATGGGAGGCTTGTGCCGGGAAGCGGGAAGACTTTGCGCCAAACCCAACTTGCTACTCGGCTGTGCTGTTTTGAAATTTTTATTGACAGGGTGCCTCTGCTGAATGGAGTCAAAATTAGGGGGGAGCTGAGTTTTAGAACATTTCTGGATCTCTTTCCCAATTATTCTGGAAGAAACACATAGTTTTACTCCATCAAAGGAGGTTTGTTGGGAAGGTTTTGGCTCTCTACTTCTCTTTATTATTGTATTTCCAATTATTATTCCACTACCATTTATTTTCTTGACAGATGTCCTTATTCAGGGTGAGGCCCAAACGATGATTTACACTCCGTATTCCAAAATTGATAGAACAAAATGTTTTGCCTAACATTAACTCAACTGGATGTAAAAGCTACACAAGATATTGAACAATCATCTACTGGCTGACATAAATCCCTAATCTCAGCCAGCAACAAGCAACAATATCTCCCCTGGGGTGTTTCGATCACTTGGAGTTCTTTTCAGCATCACAGAGTGTCCGACATGCTTCCGGTTGCTTCTTTCCACTGGCCAGATATCGATGAGTGTGCCACAGGGCGGCACAGCTGTGGCACTGACCAGATCTGCCACAACACCAGGGGCTCCTACACCTGTCAGTGCCATCCAGGATTCCAGAAGAACGGAGATCGTTGTGTAGGTGAGTCAACCAGAGTAAAGAATCGAGTTTTACAGACTTGAAAAGCAGCTCTCCAAAAAGCACAACGGCAATTCATGAACTCAAGAGCATATGGCTTTTGTTAGCCTTTTTGTGTAATCTCATCTGCATATGAAACACATTTCAGTGACCTTTTCGTGACTTGCCTTCACAGACAGAGATGAGTGTGCGTCCCGTTACTGCATGCACAGATGCGTGAACACAGTGGGCTCCTACTATTGTGAATGCAACATTGGCCACCAGTTGGCGAGAAACAACCACACCTGCGTGGGTAAGTCGCCCGGTATCGTGTGTGTGGCGGGAATCCTGACTGCATTCCGGTGAGGTAGCGTGTCCCAGAGACCCTGTTAGCTGTTTCCCTGTTCGGTCCGGATTTCCTCTTTGTAAGGGAGCAGCAGTTCCCTGGCTCCGTCTGCAGGATGGTGGCCAGGCATGTGAGGCATCAACACTGCAGCATTCCCTTGCTGCCCGGTGTTTAGGGGGCCCGGGACACGGAAACACGGCATATTTAAGACCATTATGTGTATATTACGCTACTTTTGGGATAGCTGTGTGGATTCCTCTGGATGTTTTACATGTGTCTGCTGAGAATTTTCAGGTTGCAGTTATGAGTTGGTGCCGCTTCGCGTTCACAGCAATGTGGCTCTGTGCCTCTGACTCATAACATATTGGCAGGTTTTTTTTTTTTTAAACGTTTTATTTTATTGACTCCAGTATGGCTCTAGCATATGCATACAGTTCATATACAGGTACACCAGCACATCAATCACAAGTTAATAGAAAGAAATAATAAAACGATTACAGAGACATAAGAACCAAAGCAATTAGATAAAATGTCCCCAAAGCCATTTAACCGGCGTTGCATAGTTTACATATTGGCAGGTTGTAGAAAGACGTACTGCTAATATTGATATGCAGTATTTACCAATGCATTTTATTCAAAGTACGGACAATTTATTGGGGGAAAGTTTTGTCTGATTCACTTGTGTGTTGCTCAAGAACTGAAAAGTATCAGACTCCCTGACACCTTCTGGGCTTTTCTGTTTATAAAAGGATGGTTTTGGTTTCTTCAGACGGTGCTGCACCACCTTTGATCTCTAAACTAGAGACATGAGTTTTATTTAATGTGGAAGCCGAGAGCACACGTTGGTCCTCTGCGGTCGCTCCCTTTGAAAGTCGTGTTGTGAGTTTGCTCGCCCAAACTTGCTCACCAGGTGAAGCTTGAAAAGCAGCAGAAAAATCCCATGATACTACAAAGAGCCAGAGATCCAAGAGAGGATGGCGTTGCAGGATTAGAGGAGGCTTATGAATGCTGTAGAAGCTGATCTTCTTAGATCTCAAAGGGACGTGTCAACAGCACCAGCTTAATTAGGACCCACAATTCACTGCTCAGGTGGAGAGTCATGGAAAATAAACATCTCACCAAAAGAGAAGGGTTTGGCTTTTGTTGTGTATAAAAAAGACAACAGTGATGGGAAACTTATGTAAAAAAGTATCATTTTAGACTGAGACTGTAATTCTGGGTTATCAGCTCTGGACCACTGTGACCCAACAAAGAACCAGTGGGTTTAGAAAATGGACAGATCGGCTGTAATACTGAAGATGCCTCACTTATTACTCAAGGGTCGTGTGATGCTGCCAGATATCATATCTAGTTTGAGGTGGGAGCCTTGTGTGGGTCTGATTTCAGCGAGGTCACCTTTTGTTGCAGATGTGAACGAGTGTGAGGTCTCACACCCATGCCAGCACCGATGCTACAATCTCATGGGCTCCTTCATCTGCCAGTGTGACCAAGGCTACAAACTAGCTGCAGACTCTGTGTCCTGTGAAGGTAAGCCGTGTGTGCCCCCCCCCCCCCCCCCCCCCCCCCCCCCCCCCCCCCCCCCCCCCCCCCCCCCCCCCCCGCCCGCACACCCAACAACCCAAGACCTTCTGCCCAGACCCATGTGGAAGGTATCACTTCTGGAAGTGGACCAGCAGTACCTCAGTCTCATACACTCCCTTATGTGGACATGGAGAACATCCCACTTGGATGCTCAGATGTGCTCCTGGTTCTCCTAGAGGAGTTCCAAGCCCTGGCCTGTTTCTGGACTACATTCCAGGGTTCCTCAGCTGGAACGTAATTCTGTTTCTTTGTGTGTGTACAGATATCGATGAGTGCAGCATTGCCGGCTACCGGTGCCGCTTCCAGTGTGTGAACAACCCGGGGGGGTACTCCTGCACCTGCCCGGAGGGATACCAGGTCCAGGGAACAGGAATGTGTCAAGGTACTGGCCTCCCCGTGCATTATGAATTACGGCGTGCATTCCAGACCAGCCCAGCGCTGCCTTCCAGAAGGGAACAGACTGAAGCGCTCTCCATTTTTGCATTTAGTACCAGTGAGATATACAGTGGAATATGGGCACGTTCCCTCGATGAAACTGTCTCGGAAAGAATGCTGGCATAAGTAAAGCAAACAGGGCGTCTCTGTCCTCCCCACCCCCCCCAGGCCACAGTTTATTTATGTTTGGACTGTTTGTCTTGCAGGCGATTCACATCCACCTTGAAAAGGCTCGCTATTATTTTTTTTTTCAGGCACAGGTCTCCCATGTCGAGAAAAATGCTTCCAAAGATTCTCGGGTGTCCCATCAAATGTAGATCTGAGATTCGCTCCTTTTGATGGTCTAGCAGTGATTTGGTGCCCGTGGTCTTCCTTCACACCTGGAGGGGGGTAGATTCTGCATGCTAGCCCATGTGTGTGGCTGTGGGGGTTTCTCCGTGGGGGTTTCTCCTGCGGGAATGCTGAAGACCTCCAGGGCCGGCCACATCTCTGCTCCTCTTGGTCACCCCCTGTTGTCACTGCTGACAGTTATATCTTGAAGGCAGTATTTGGAAAAAACTGCAAACACCATACTCAACCAAATCAGATGATAAATACCATCAGTTTGTAAACACCGTAAAATAGTAATGGTTCTGTATGGTTTGTATTTTATTAGAGCACCAGCATGGGTTCCACACAAACGTTGTTTACGAAACAAAAAACAATCGCACTTCCATAGTTAGCTTATAGGTAGCTAATTGATACCAAGGGGGTTCATTGAGGTAATACCCAATCAATGCCATTTGCTGATTTATGGCCACACTCCCACTGGTTACCCGCCATAACCCACAGAGAACAGCAAGGCCATTATTATTCTAGGGCAGTCATTAATATTCAAAATGTCAGATGATCTGCTGTTATGTTTATCCTTAGATATAAACGAATGCGAAGGCGACAATGAGTGCAGGGAAGACGAGATGTGCTGGAACTACCATGGTGGCTATCGCTGCTACCGTAGGAACCCCTGCGAGGAGCCTTACGTGAGAACAGGAGAGAAGTAAGTCAGAGAGGCGCCCTCCGGTGGCAGCCTGACAAATTGCCTCACGCCATCTGCAAGTCTTTGTTCTATCACCTCATACTGGACATTCAGGAAAAAACCCCTTTGTTTATGTAAACAGCCGCTGCTTCTGCCCATCATCGAGTGCCTGCGAGGACCTGCCCATGTCCATCGTGCACAAACACATGAGCATCCTGTCAGAACGCTCTGTGCCAGCTGACATCTTCCAGATCCAGGCGGCCAACATCTACCCAAACATACAGAACACCTTCCAGATCAAGTCGGGCAACGAGGGCCGTGAATTCTTCCTGAGGGTCAGTGCTGAGGGTCTGCTGGCTAAACTAGAGCGATGTGCTAGCATTGCTTGTTGACGTAAGGTTCCGCACAGGGTCAAAGTCCTTTTAGGAACTGCTGTAGCTACTTCCAGAGGATGAGTGTGGAATTTTGTTTTGATTGAGATTGCTTACCTGTTAGCTTCTTTAGCAGGTAGTAGCTACATTGTCCTTTTGTCTCTAACCCCTCCTGTGATACCGCCGCCCCCCCCACAGCGCTCCAGCAATGCCAGCGCCATGCTAGTGATGACCAAGTCACTGACGGGGCCACGAGAGCTCATCCTGGAGCTGGAGATGATCACCTTCAACATGGTCACCCAGCACCGTTCCAGCTCCTTGCTACGGCTCACCATCGTCGTGGGGCCCTACGACTTCTAACACCCCCTCCCCCCACTTCCTGTGGTGCTGTTGCATCATTTCCTGTGTAAAAGATACCCAGCATGCTCCAGTATATCCATTTAACGCAGCGATGGTGGGAGATTACCAGCAGCTTGCTTCATTCCTGGAGGAAGATGAAGATAAAAACGTAACAAAGAGCAGCTCTTATTCATTATTTTATTTTTGTTTTTAGTACTATTGCTTGGCAGGAGTGACACAGTGACTGGTACCGATGTCTGTTGGCCCCAATCTATAAAGTAGGGCCTAAGAGTCCTTACAGACGCGAACGGGAGTTGCACAAATGTCTTTGATGGTTAAACCATGAGCTTGTGAGACTTTTGGTTATTTATAAAGAGAGGAACCCTTCTCCCATTCAGAAAGAAAGCCTGCCAGCACCTCGCTGGCACCTTCTGTCCATACTTGTCCCTCCGGGCCCCCGGAGTATCTCTGTCACCGCGCCCTACGTGGGGGTGTCGCATTTCCCAGCAGGCCGATTCCACACAAGGCCGTCACTGAGCTGCTTAAAGACGCAGAAAAAAAACCCGGCTTATAATACAATCCGAAGATAGCTGTATGTATTATGACTCTTGTCATCGAGAGATGAATGATTTTGCCTGAAGGCCAGGGCCTAAGTTTATACGTCAGTCATCTTGATGCAGCCTCCATTTTGAATTCTCCTGCAGGTTTGGCCAAAACAATGGAGTTGTTGGAATTTTGGTCAATAAGAATAATTATGCTCTATACCCTACACATGTGCCTGGATTAACTTCAGTTACTTAGATACTTATTAAAAGCCATGTTTTTCTAGCATGTTATTTAACTGGGGTAGTTGAGGTTAAATGCCTCGCTCAAAGGTACAATAGCAAGACCCCAGATCTCAAGTGAGTGATCTTTGGCTTGTGAGCCCCTGTCCTTATCCGCTTGGCCCGAATCACCTGCAACCAGCAGAACTGTAGGTGACCCTATTTGGTATTTTAAGTATTGGAGCAGCGTTGTGATCTGGGCTACAGCTGCGTGGTTCTGAAGCTGACGGTTGAACTGGCTGCCCTAACCATACGTGAATCTGCAGCCAGTGCTGGCAGTATGGATCCACGATTTGTAAATGATAGTACCCACAGTGCCGGCTTCAAACTGTGGAATTCATGTGAATGTCAGTCCACGCCCCCCCCCCCCCCTCAAAGAAGCCCAGGGTGCCTCACCCAGTGTGCACTCAAGCGTTATACATTTGAACCGCTGCAACGGCAATAAACTCTGTCCGGTTTTGCTTTATTTCTTATTGCAGTACAAGGCGAGTTATTTTTACCTGAGAAGGAGTTACTCTCAGCGAGAAAAGCCTTTTCGAAGATGTCATGCCCCCCCCCCCCCATGAAGGCTTAACCGTTCCCTTTCTGCTTGTCCTCTTAAATTTTATATTTAAACTATATTTTTTCACTTCTAATTCCTGAGACCTGTTACTCTGATGTTTGCGAAGTAATTTTGTAATTAAATAAAATTGAAAACGGTACATTTCTCCGCGTGTTTGAGGTCTGGCTGAGGTGTGTGTCCAACACAGACATGCAGATGGTGGGAAACCTGCAGATTTTCAGGGATTGGGGACAAGTACTGTAGGGAGGAGAACTGACCTATCAAAACTTTCCATTCAGGCAAAGTGTTCCTCTTACAATAAAAAACAAACAGCTAAACTAAATTGTCCAGGTAATTGGCTTCCTTTGATGTATCTCTCTATTTAATAATCTTCCTTCGATTTCAATTGAATGCATTTTTTTTAATGTGTGCGATACTTGAACTGGGGCAGAAGTACAAAAGTAATGTACACCAAAGTTCAATTTGATGATTGGGGGGGGGGGGGGGGTTGACTCCCATCTGGACTCCTGACTCCACAGGACCTGGGGTGAAAGTGCGAAGGTGAGGTAAGCCCCCCCCCATACATGACAGCCGTCTGGTGGAGATCCGCATCTTTGTTTTCCTGCTCCCATCACTGTTCACGAGGGAAATCCGCCCGGGAAAGATCGTGTTTATAATTCTGGACATGTTGTTAACCGCGGGCTGGAGGCGGGCCCAGCGCAAGGCCTGGCTCCGTGTTCACGCCTGCAGCCTCGGGGAATTCTGTCGTGAGCTGACAACGCTGGCGTGTGAGGAGGGGGTTGGCGATTGGGGGAATCCAGCAGAGAGCAGAACCGGCCGTTTCTCAAGCTCCCCGCTTGGGGTTCGGGCCTGGGGCTCTCGGCGGTGAGGGCTCTACGCCATCCGCGGCTCCCCCTGACCTTCTTCTCAACTCGCGGCACGCTGCTCCACTTCCTGGTTTGCCGGGCTGCGATCCGGGTTCGCCAGAGGCTGAGATGTGAAACCACGCCTCCGGGCGTGAAGAAACTGGAGCATGTTTCATACCCCGAAACACTTCCTCGGAAAACACATTTCTTTCTGGAATAGTCTGTTTCTCTCCCGTTAACGGTGCCCGTGGGGCTCCAGAAGAAGCCGAATCGAATTTATCTTGGGTGCTGTGAAGCGCGGCGAAAGCGGGAGCGGCAGCGAGGGATGACGGTCCCGTTCCGGAGCGTTACGTAACCCTTCCTCGGACAGGGCGCCTTCCAGGAGCGCCGGGCCCCGCCGTCGATCATTATTACCGCCTGTTTTGGGGCCAGACAAAACAGGGCAAAAGCCACCAGGGCTCAAATGACAATTCCAGGAGTTCATCCCCGCCCTGCAGAAAGGCGTATGGCCGTCTATCCGAAATGTGCAATCTGTCAACTTGCGAGGTTTGACGAGGTTTCCCACCGAGCGAAAAGTTCTTCTGGGCCGATCCGATGGCTCATTTGCATCCTTTATTTTGGCTTGTTACGACATGTGGTTATTTTACTAGTGCCAGTGATTGAGACCAGCAGTCACGCTCCACCCGGATCCCAGTTAACTCCGGACGTGGAGCTGGAGGCTCTCGCCAGAGGTCAGCGGGTCGAGGGCCACCGTCATTGTACAGACTGTAAAAAAAAAAGCAGAATACATCCATGTGTACAGGTCGGGCTATTAGCGGCATAGAGCCACAGTGGGTGGGATTTCTGTGTGCTGCCAGTCAGGACCTCGTTTGCCCCAAGGTGACCCAAGTGCCTTTGCAGGTCACAAGCCAATTGTCATCCCTGTACACAACATTTTTACAATCAGCTACCTTGAGAAAAGATTGAGTGAAAGAGGGTGAAGAAAACATTTCTTTCCTGTGTTCAACATGTAACACGATTTGTTAAAATGCTGATTTTAGCTGGACTTAGGTAGAGTTTGTGTTTTCACAGACATCGGTGCCGCCTTAATGCCAATAGTGCTGTGTTGCCGCGGTGATAAGGCTGCGTCCAAACTCAGCTTTTAGGTGTTTTCATGACCAAATGGTTTTCAAAAAGTAGACTGTGCAGCTGAAGGAGCTCAAGCCCTCGCTGTCACCCTCAGATTCATGGAAAGGCCCGTCTGTGGTGGCCTTCCCGCCAGCCGTCGCGTCCAACGCCAGCCTTGCCCACACGCCGTGCCGCTACATGCCAGCTTCTTCTGACCCCCCTCTTCGAAAATTAATGGCCTGCACAGCATGTTTAGCATCCACATTTCCTTACTGGCCCAGTGAAAAAAGGGCTCTTCCACCTACGGGCTCGTTTAGAAACACTTCGTTGGGAATAACAGCTCCGTGTCCGTTTGACAGGAAATTCAGACAAGGTGAGAAGTCAGGGGCCCCGGGGCCCCGGAGCCGGGAAGTTATGAGAGGGTGAGATCACCTGTTGCCCTTGGCAAACCTTTGTTTATAGAATGGGCACACACCCCTCGTAAAAAGTGCCCTTCGTTTCGTGCAGGCGATGCCCCGGGTTGCAGCAGCTACCCAGCGCCACCAGTGTAGGGGAGGTTAAAAACGAAATGGAAACGAATGAACAAACGAACCGCACCTTTTGTTTGCTGCGAAATGCTAAAGGATCTCACAGAGGGGGAACTCGCACATGCAAATGAAGACGTAACCAATTTCATCAGTGCGAGTAACACGCTTAATTAAGGCTCAGCAGAATAACTCCTGAGGTCTCATTTTGACCAAAAGCAGCTAACGTCAGGATCAAGAAGGCGTCACTGGTTCTGGGTTTGGAGCAGGTGGCCCCAGAGACCCACAGGAAGGACTATAGTGGTGCTGACCATTCGGAATGTTCCAGAAAGAGATTTAAAAAATCCATCATTCGGTAATGAGGAGGAAGGGGAGCAGATGAAATAGTGATTGCATGTGGCAAACGAAGGGAGAAGATGGTGGGTAAGAGGTAGATCTGCCCCAGGAAGACCCCAGTCAGCACATATGCACCGTAGACAACAGCGGAATCCCTGCAGTTGTTCAAAAGAAGTAAGTAGTGGGGGGGGGGATAGGAGGTGTAATTTAATAAGCCCAGTGGATAAACGAATAGCGCCATGCCTGTCATTAAAAGTTCAGCCCTCAGGCTAAATAACTATAAATATGGCGGTTTAATCCATCGCCAACACCCCCACAAATCCAGGTTTCCTCCCAGGTCTCTGCATCTCCTCCATCCATCTGCAACTGACTCCAGGCTGGATCCGTGACCTCGGTTTCAATTTGTCTTGTAAAAGTGGCCCACCAGTGGGACACCCCCCCCCCCACCTCACCCCCGGTGTTTTTTTGGAGAGCACCTTTCACGTTAAGTATTTTTCTTCAGCCGTGGCAGGTCTGAAGGCATGTTGAGAGCCCCCCCCCCCTCTAGCCGCCCAGTCGTGGAGGGCTTTACTTATCCCAGATTGAATTCCGTTGCTGTCTCGTATATCCAGCTTCCAAAAATGTTCGGCATACCAGAGGATTTTATTAACTTGTCAGAGCGAACAATAAAAAGTGTTCTGCCTTGTAAGGTGTGTCTCTTCAGATTTCAGCAGGGAATTTCAGATTAGAACAGAGACCAAGAAAAATTAACCAGATATTCCCCATTCGCGCCAGAATGAATGGCACGGCCCGTTCCCTCGCTAAAATACTGCTGCTAGCATCCAGCGGAGGGTATGTAACTGGGCTGTGCAAGTATTAAAAAACACACGGGGTTGTTTGCTGGATCTATGCAATAAATTGCTGTGATGCCAATTCAAGGTCAAAGGTCATTGTGGTGCCTGAGGGACAGTATTGTAGGTGAAACAGGATGTAGAAGAACTTCGCAGAAACAAATGTGCAATTCTGCTGCCACCAAAGCTGCATTTGCTGTCTAAATTAGTACCCCCCCCCCCCCCCGCCCAGCCTTACCACATTTGCAGGGGGGGCGGAAGTAGTTTCTTTTTCACCCTGGAGCCCGCGTCTCATCACGTGCGTGTCCAGGCAGCATGCGAGTGGGGGGGTCAAAAACCGTGGGGAGCGCAGCCACTGCAGCCGCCTCACCTGGTGTAACCGGAGCTCCTTCGCGGAGGAATGAGGAGGCTGCGGCGGATGCGGGGAGGGACAGCCAGCCCCCATTCAGCACCCCCTCTAGAGGTCGGCTGAGGATCCCCAGGAAGCAGACCGCTGTGTTGTCACCCACAGTGCCGGGGTGCACTTATAATTACAGCTGAAATCGGGCAGGGAAACAGCCTTGTGTTTTTTTTGCCAGGGGCAGGTCATGATGCTTATCTGTGTAATCATATGTTACGGCACAACCGAGCGAGGGAGTGTTACCCCCGCACCTATCAGCCGGACATTAAAAGGGCATTAAAACGAAGTATTTTAAAATGACCTTACTAATTTACGCAAATCAATAAATTATTGTTATAAATGACTAAACGGCACATGTTATTAGCGCAATTTAACGGGACTGGCGCATGCCAGCCCTTTGAAGCGCTGTCCCGCGTACAAGCCCGCATTCTCTTTGAACTCCTTCTCGATGATCGTTTTATGTGAAGGCGGCATCCTGCGCCAGCTCAAATCGTGTTTTCTTTCCAGTTCCAGCCCGAACAGCTCCCGCGAAGCGCCCTAACGCAGCAACATCGGCGCGATGACGTCACGCGTGGCCCCTTGCCGTGCGGCCAGCATGATACCGGGAGGTGACCGGATCGGTCGGCACTTTCGAAGGCCCGCGCTTCGGTATGTTCTGGAATATTTGATTTGCTGTCTGGCACAGGATTCGCCATCTTTCTGCGTGGCTCGTGAAATAAATCACATGTGGCAAAGATTTTAGGACTCGGTGAAACGGGGTCACGCTCGGGGAAAATGCCTGCGAGCGAACTTGTGTTTAGTAACCTGGCGCCCTGTTGATTGTTTACGTTAACACTCATGGGTTTGTACGTTAACCCGTGTCGTTACACTATTTCATGGTCGCTGCTGGAAACGCGGAGTGAAGAAAGAACAGCTCATCAGTCTGTAAATTATCCTTGTTAGGACTTTATTGACAACCTATTTGGCTTAAAGATGCTGTTTGTATGGAGTTCTTTCCATTATAAATCATTTACAAAATGGCTTGCAACTCCTTCCGTCCAATGGGAGCCATTTCACGTTTAACTTCTTACAATTTTTAGTTGCCAAAGGGGAAATAGTGGTACTCACAACAGTATGGTACTAATTAGACTATTGTATATAAATCCTGTGAGCTATATAGTGTTACCATATTATTTTTGGAAAACCTGTAGCCATGTATGCTTCCCATGCTGATGCTGTCAAGCATTCAGGGTGTTTCTGAAATAAACGTGATCCAGCGTGCTGGACATTGACTGGAACGTTACCATACCACCCACCCGATCCCCTCCTCCCTTGCTAAACCACCCTCCCAGCTCCATTTGAAATGGTAATGTCCTCCCAAGAGGAGAGTTTCTGTGTACTCTGAGAGTGCACCAGTGCTGATTCGGGGTATACTCTCAGAAAAAAGGCTAAAAATTAGTACCTTTGCTTGTCACTGGGGTTGTACCCTTGTAATTGTACCTTTTAAAGTACATAAATTGACGTTGAGGAACATCCCAAAGGTACAAACAGCATTAATGTACCATCACTGGTACAGAAATGTTCATCAGAGTCCATTTCTATACCTTAAAAGGTACAATTACCTACAGTACAGCTAAGGGTACAATTGGCAGACCCTTGAGTGTACAGCCCCAGTGACCAGAAAAGGTACAAATTTTTACCCTTTTTTTCTGAGAGTGTAGCATCCTGCTTGTGGGCCCAGCAACTCAGCCACATACAAAAAAGAAAGTGTAAATTTCAAGAGGCTAATCCAAACTTGCCGAAAGCAGTCCACAATTTCCAGAAGGTTAATTCCACCCACAGTCAGCATCAAAGATGTTAATTTCTGCCCTTTAGTTGAACTGAACTAAACAGCTAGCTTCGAATATTCTTTAGGTCATTCACTGAATTTGCTTTAAAAAAATAAAAATTACTGCTGGGCTAAGAGCGACTAACTAGTTAATGGTGACTTGGGTGAGCATCTGCGTCAGATGATGTGATCTGCATTGCCTGGAATGAAGAGCACAGAGGTTAATCTAGGAAAAGGCTACTTACTAAAAGATAACATGGTTCCTGAGTAAAGTATGCAATTGTTGTCTCAGCTAAGTGGACGAGTTCGGCCCTGCCGAGGCCTGATCTGTCCGGATCAGATGCAGAATTCCAGCAATGCCCAGCCTCGTGCCAAGATCTTCTGCGACGCTGCTCGCTTTGTTTTCAATTGTAATATCATGCTCTTTCTTGGTTGTTCGGCTGCCAGCTCCAGTTCATCAGTCTGTAGACTCTCAGCCAATCATCTGACTGTTAAGACAACTCTTCCCACTCACCTCCTCCTGATAATTTTGCCCCTAAAACAAATTCCTCCAAATTCAGGTCTCCCAGGTCTTTCATCGTGCAGTTGTATTTCGATTGCACAACTGCTGCGGTAACTGTTGTTACGAAGTCAACAAGAACAGCGCAAACGACTCTCTTTTCCCAGGGTAAACTTAAAAGAAAAAAAAAATCCCTGTAATACACGGGAATAAATATGCACTATGATTTTGGGTGGCGTAATCTACAAAATGTTTACGATCCCTGTTTTTAACAACCCTACTAAATTTTAGTTTAGTGTACGCAAACCAAGGGATAAACGATGAGAAATCTTCGAAAGCAGATTGCGCCTGCCACCTAGTGGTTTGAGCCAGTTAATGTCCTCGACTCGGCAACCGCAAGTGTCAATTATAATCCTTAAGTTTAAAGAAAATTATGACAAGCCTTTCTTATAGAAAATATGAATGGATTACGTATTATCTTCCGCTTGCAATCGTGAAAGCTCACGTGTGTTCACATACTGTATATTAATTTAATAACGAATTTGGTGCAGAATTTAATTACATGGATTTAACATGTGTGGTTACTGGAATCATATTACTACTGGAACCTATACACTATTACATCCAACGACCAGTTTTTAACATGGCAGCAATAGAAAATATATTGATTTAGCTAAATCGTGACTATGTCGTATAGGCATATGTACGTTAAATGCATATTCAGCTCCTGATTTAGGCTTGGGGTATATGTAAAAATGTTGGAAGATCATGATGTTGCATCTTCGTCAATGGTGAGATTCAGCGGACATTGTCTTGCTCGGCAGGTTCCCCTTCTGTTCAGTATTTATCAAACAGCTAATTACATAATTTATAGCTAAGAATGTCATTAATGAAATACAGAAAACTGTTGCCAGCTAACTGCTATTGAATATAAGGTACCTTTCAAGACTTTTTTTTACTAAAAAGACAAAAAAAAATGTCCCAGGCTTCATTTTCCCGATGGCAGGTGCATATGGAATAACCAGCCCAGTAACTGTCGTGGAAACAAACTGGCAAAAAATTGGGAAAACAAAATTCGCAGACGTCACAGGCGCATAGACGCCACTGGAGGGCGGTATCGTCGCGTTTTCCATTAGTTTCATTCTATCAAATAACGGTTTAATTAGAAAACAAAACATTTCTGTTAATTTAATTTAAATGTCAAACATCAAATGACATCCAATGTTATAACACAATTAACTTCCCTCAAGACTAACAAATAATAACGTTTAAACTGAGGGTTTCATTAAGAAGCACCACAGATTTATTTATGAGGACAATGTAATTCACATAAAAATACAAAAAAATAAGCAGAAACGTTGAATGCATCTCACCACTGGTTCCGAAAACCCGCAGTAAACTGGTAAGTTTTAAAATAATAAAAAACTACTATAGCGTTTTACTTCCGACCCGCATATTAGGAATATAACCCGCACTATACCTGTATTTTCACACAGGAGGGTGGCGTCCCGTCACTATAGTATCAGATTTGTACAGTTTACGGCGTAATGAGTAATAATGAGTAGTAATAGCGCAGCAGCGGAAGGTGCAGTGGCTGCCTGGCGTTTCCTTGAAGACAATCTGGTAGTGGTTCTGGAAGTGCTTCATTATCTTCCTGAGGAGGGCAGAAGGCACCCCCCCCCCCGCCCGTTTCCTCCGTGTCTAGAGGGCGGATCAATGCTGGGAGCCTCCGATTCATACAAACTCCCGCCCCTCCTCTGTTTCTCTTCAGCGGACTCGCCTGCTTGTTTTGCTTTTTGCTTCTACCTGGGAGGTGCATCCTACACCATACTTTGTAATATTTCGGCTGGCTATAAGGAGGGGAGGACAGGACAAGAGAAGAGAGGACAGGAGGGGAGGGGAAGAGGGTAGGAGAGGGGAGGGGACGTGGGTCGAAGCTCAACATGCTGTAGTGGATGGATGGGACTGGCGATCGGACGGTCTGAAAATGCCGTCGGAGGTGTAGAAGGTCTGAACATCCACCTCCGCTTTCATCGCCCCCCTCCCTTCGCGCTGCCAAGCTTGTTGCCTTGCTTAAGCGGCCTAAAAACACAAAATGTCGACCAGGACGCCGCTGCCAACTGTGAATGAGCGCGACACCGAGAACGTAAGTGCCGCCGCCGCGACCCCCCTCCCCCTCCCCCTCGGTCCCCCTCGATACGACTCGACCGCTTTCGCCCCCATTGTTGCCGGCTGATCTGTCATGTGCGGCCGGGGCCGCCGTGTGCGTGTATACTCCCCTGCATTAGCTGCTAGCTTGCAGTGGGTAGACGTGGGCTGGGGGGGGGGGCGTGAAGATAGAAATACTTCGCTATATTAGCGGGCCGTTTAATTGCTCTTCGCTGCTGCCCCTGCATCCTCTTTGTTACAAAGTGCGGCGCGTTTCGGAAACGCGCTTTAACGCCTGACAACTTTGAAGATGCAGATGGGCGGCGAAGTTGCAACATTGTAGCCGATCGCGCGTCTCGCTTCTCTGCTCTTTATCGCGGAGGCTCCCTCTGGACAATGGTCTCATCTACCAGTACGGTTCAGTAGAGATTACGTTGCTAAAACCTTCTTAAAAATACATGTATATGCCATCTACAACTTTTGAGTCGGCTATCGCAGAGTATTATACTTATTGTTTTTTTGAAAATAAATGATGTAGATAAAGTGGAAGATCGTCTGAGTAATGCGGATGACAAATACGGCTGGCATCCAATGCACATTGTCAGTGGCCGGGTGATGTGACTTCCTGTGAGCCCAGATCCCCCAGTGCTTTTAAATGCGTCCTCCTAAAAAATTGCAAAAGCACAGTGTGGCAATACGAGCAGTGCAATGTGAAGGAATCCGGCCTGTCCGTGGCTCGCATTGTCCTTCATTCCCAAACCCCGTATTCAAAACGAGACATCGCATGCAAATGAATGGACGGCAGCTGTAGAACGCGTACAAAGTGTCAGAAAACATTTACTCGTACATTTTAACAGAGTTGCAGTATCTCTGCGATTTAGACAGTAATCCCCTCTTAGTAAGGCTTTAACGGATTTCACAGGTCGGTTGTTCAAAGCAGTCTGTACAATGCACTCTCCATCCGTCTTTAATTCACCAAATACGATATTATTAAGTTGCGTATTTATCGCCGCCTCGGAGGTGAAACTGGACGCCAGCCGGCCGCTGCGTCGCGTATCGGTGTCTGTAATGTTAAAATGGTGTATAACGTGATACGTGGTGGATGTAAGAAGCGACAAAGGCACCGCGCGGATCCGACCGTAAACAAGACGCGTAGTTTTATAACACGGACCCTTGGGGGAGCGGTGCAAGCCTGCCTTACTTTTAAATGATCGCAATTAAGCATGATTAGTTGTCGATGACATAACACATTGACATAATAAATAGTGTGTTACTAGACTGACCGAGTATAAATGAATTTTATTTATTTCATTTTTTTTGCGCAAGGCTGTGTCTCAAATTTGCTATGATTTCGGTGACGTAATTGGCTTCTGGTCTGTGCGATCGGTGTCTGAACTAGCAGGGACATGTTGAACGTTTCACCACGATTCTCAGAGAAGGTGCTTCCCTTATCAGGCAGTTGTTTGTATGACATCTTTCAGCTGCGGGTTTGAAGTAAAGGCTCTAAAACTGCCTTCAGGAGGCGGCGTTTTGATAGCACTGAGTGATTAAACTCAGTAAGCTGGAGAAAAGTTCGCCTGTGTACTGTGGAACTTTTGAACATGGAAATATTAATAGTCTGTCACGTAGGCTGCATCACTGTCCTCGATTAAATAATTTCCTGTATTGAGGGTCCTCTCATTTCAGCATTGTACATGAGTTCATGGGTGTAGCGCGGGATTTTTCAAAGATGCAGCATGTTATACTGTTATAATGCTATGGTCAACACACGTGGTTGGTCTCCTTACCATGAGGCAGATCCTGTACTATCGAGAATGCCAGTGGGTACTGGGTGACCAGCGAGAAGCTTGCTTGTGGATAATGGTCTTTAGCAGTTTGCCAGTAACAGTAATGTTGATCGTGTTGATGTTCATGTTGATGTCAGATGCCTCGCTGAAGTTGACATATGGAGGGAAATTTGGCCTGTTTTTCTTACTTTGTTGAATGGGGACACATGCTTTTTAGGACAGTCCTGAATAGATGGATCGTGAAAAGTCGGTTAGTTGTCATGCAGTCAAAGCATCAGTTTGATCCCTCTAATCTGGGTCAATCTCTACAGAATGGATTGTTGTAGATCTTCGCTGTTTCTCTGTGGGGTTTGCTGACTGCTGGAGACATGGAGACACTTGGTGGCAATGATGACTTATGACTTTGTGCCTGGCCTGCCTCTAGGTTGTTCTCCACTAGCGGGTTACGTTGGACATCCACAGGTCCTTTGAGGAACAGGAACAAGCTCCCAGGTCCGTGCTTCTGCCTTCCACCGTTGTTGATCGAGAACCAGATCTACAGAGGCGCTTTTCGGAAGGACTAGAAGGTTATGACAACAGGCACGGCAAATTATTCAAAAAATAAAAGCCTAAAACACAGTCGTAACATACGGAAACATTGCAGCTTAGCAGAATGGCAGCCCAGGTGCGTAACACTGCAGAAGAAGCCTTTAAAATAAAAGTTAAAAAAAGGAAATTCCGCCTTTTCTTGAGTGCTGCAAAAGATCCAACGCTCAGGAAGGTACGGCAGCTGGGACTGCTTGGTGGGAAAAGCGCCGGGGACGAGGCGGGTGAATATTCCGGAACCGTGTCAAAGCTTCATGCCGTCGACACCGGTGAAAGCTGACTCAAGCTGCGCTCATCTGCGTGTCATGGGAGAAAAATCTCAGCAAGAGTATCACACCCTGCTTCACATCAGCTGAACCGCACAGTATTTCTCAGGGATATAATTGTGGTTTTTATAGGATAATGAAGGATACTTTTAATTGGAATATTTGGTCAGTTGATTGACAGTTTTTGTTTTTTTCCTATGCAGCATTTTTTTATGAAAATTATTTCCTTTTTGTTTATGATGGACTGTTGGGCATGTTAGGATCTCCTGTAGTCAGAGGGATGGGGGTCATGTGATTATTGTAGAGCTACATCATATGCCAGTAAACATAAATCAGACATTACTCATGTATTATACACTATCAGTTAACAGTTAATAGTTACTAGTTAGTAGTAGTGGTGTGGTGCCATGGTTTGCGTGCCATATATTGAGTATATAGATTAGAATAGATAAACTCTGTCTATATATGTGTTAGTGCATCTACACATGAATTGGTGTGTTTTGTTGCTGGTCGTTCATGCTGACCATGGAAAGATGCACCAGAATATTACCTGTTATATTACAGGGACTGGCATCCCATGATGCTTCACTGTACCTCACACATGGCTCATGTCGGAACTGGCTCCGCCCTCCCTTCAAGTGTGGGAGCAGTTAATGAAAATTGATGTGTCCCCCAGCGCTGGCGGACAGGCAGACGGGCTTTCCTGCACGTCCTCGCAGAGCTCGCGAGCTCAGACGCAGGGAGGGGCCGTCTCTCGAGTGCCGACACTCCGAGGGATTCTGTTTTTCCTCATGGAAGACGCATCCGCCCTGCAGATCGTGCTCTCCAGCCTTTCAAGCCTGAGAGGGTTAGGAGACACAATGCAGATTTATAGGAAGATTTATGGTTATCCCTGATTGGCTGACAGTTGGCTGATGCACGTGTCGCCTCTGACTGTCTTGAATCTAACCACATAGGAGTTTCTTTCCTCTCCCATCCCCTGGAACAGAACCCCCCCCCCCCCTCCCCCACCATCGTGCCCCCATACATGAATTTCCTTGGTCAACTTTAAGGCACATTAACTAAAGAGGAAATCACAGGGAACGCAGCATTTTTTTTTTCCTCTGTGAACTCCCTGAACCGGAGTCCGCTTCCCAGAAGGCCACTGTGTTCAGGCACAGCTGGCCCCAAACCCCCATGTCTGCCGTACTGCATCTCTGTAGGAGAGCGTGTCGCAGATGCATCTCTCCCATGTGTGACTGGATATGTAATGCCGAAAAGCACCACGTCCAGTGACCACACCCCCTTGTTTTGCTTCTAGGTCGTCCTAGGCGACATGCAGTGGAGGGATGATCGATCTTCCTTGTGAGTTTGGCAGTACACTTGCACTGATTTTTTTTTCGTTTACTCTGTGCCTGGCTCCTGTTGCCATGGATGGACCAGCAGAGGTTCTGCAAAGCCCTGAGTTTTCGCTGCTGTTGCATTTTCTACAGCTTAAGTCATGTCACGGTCTCTCTTCTGAGTATTAACCAGTTAAGATGCTGCTGCACTTTGCATGTATCTGTTATTTATTATTTAATAGGCTCTTTGATTAGCATTGAGCTGGATATCTTGGTTTGAAGTTTTCCTGCCCACATCTGCAGCAGCGAGCTTCACATTCAGGACTAGCGTTTAACCACAATATAGATACATACATAGATATATAGATACATAGATAAATACAGATAGATAGGTAGGTTGTGGTTAAGCGCTAGTCCTGAATGTGAAGCTCGCTGCTGCAGGTTCCCGTCGGGGTGATAAGGCTCACAGCACTCTGTGCTTTCGCGGATTTGATGTGACCTCGCCGGCTTGCTGGCAGGTGTCCCAGATGTCCTGCTAAAGCCATAATCTGCTGCCCTTTTCTTAGACTGCCGACACTTAGCTGTGACGCCTGCCCTAAATGACACTGAGCGAGTCCCCCCGGATTGGCTGGACCAGGTCACATGGCACTCACGCCGTCACTCATTGGATGAGATACTCCAGAGGCCCTCCCCTTTTGATGAAGCACTATCACTTGCGTACCCTGAGAGATGATGTTTTGGAACAGCGTGACTGCATGACGTTTTAGCAGATGTCTTCAGACTGCAGCTGTTTATGCCTTGAATCAGCATCATAGGTCTTTACCTTCCATGAAAGAAGAACACATGTAGTATGACTGCATGCAAAAGCCTGCTAGTAAACATAAACAACAAACATTGAAAAACTTATTAAAAACATTATTTTGGTATGCTGCCATTGAGTTTTAGCAGAAACACGTTTCAGTTCAGTGCTTTGCAAAGCAACATTTCATTTTAATGTTTTGTCACAAGAAACTCAGTTTGTACATGAAAATATGAAAATAT